CTGAATTCACTTGGATTCCTGTCTTTGATGTCAATTTGTTGGTTTTAACCCGCAAATCTTCAAGTTTACATTGCATTCGACATAAAACATCCGTGAACTCCTCATCTCCTAGGATCTTCTTTTTGATCCAATATATTTCTGTCTTCTCGCTCTACACAGACTTCGGCTTAATCTAGTCTACCACACTAGGGAATATTGTCTGTGGTAGTAAGCAAGCAGCTGCTATCTGAACATCAAAGGCTTCGCTGTGTTTTCCGTTGTGGATTGCGTGACATGTGTCATTTTCATAAAGCTGTTGATTTGAGTGTACTGGAAAAGCTTATTATATTTCAAAACTATTCCTTTTCCACACTACATATAGCGAAAACTTTTATAAAGGTCAGTAGTTTTCTTTTAAAAAACGTATGGGAGTTAATAACTGGCACTGGTGAACACTATTCAAGGCGTAAGACGATTTCAGCGTTTACAGAAATGTAAACTGAAAACCAGGGAGTACTAGACAGTTGTTTCATCCTAGTTTTAAAATCACCGGCATTACGCGCACACTGGTACTCATACCCAGGACCTTCTGGTTACAAGGCAAGCTCATACACCATTAACACACTGAGATCCGACTTAGCGGCCGATAAATTCTAAATTGTATCAATTCGTAATGTATTTAGCCAACTAATATAATCGCCAGGAAATCTATCCTCACTCCCGACTGGATGGACCTCACTGGTTACGACATCTAACTGCCACTCCAGTGCGTGAGTACTGCTGATGATTCTCAAACTAGGATGGAACAGGTGTTCAGTACTTTAGTGATGGTTTCCACTTGTTCGCCAACTAATATCAATCCGTGATCAAACTCGTATAAACAAATCTAATCCTTAAAAAACAACTCTAGAATAACAAATACTTCGAGGAAAATTATGGCGCTTTTTTCCCAAACTTAAATATATAATAAGAGGAGAAGTTCTATGATTAAAAACTAAGAAATTAAACATTCCCGCAGATTGACTGATCTCAGTTTTTCAAATATGAATGTTCATTAGGTAGATTATAAGTAGACAAATACGCTTCTTCTTCTTCTTTCTTTCTTTACTTCGGCTATCTCCTACGGGAGGATGAACCGGCTTCATGAAGATCTCGAATGTTTGTAAGAGATTTGATGAAGTTTCATGGGAATTGGGTACGAGTGATGTCCCCAGCATCGCTTGGCCTTTTGTTTGAGAGTGCAGCTCTAGCCTTTACACAACCAAGTGTGACCTACAAGGCAGTAGGAGTGGAGTAGGGAGTCCACTATCCATTGGCAGCCGGTGACCGGAGTCCAGTTCATACGCCTTTTTGAATGGGGCCAGACATCCAGGGCATCTAATAAGCCCTTTGTCCATACGTCTGCCGGTGAACTCCAGTGAGCTTCATACGCCAGTCGTTGGAGATTTGGAATCAGGGTCTAGCCATCTCCCCTAGACTGTCATCCAATGGACAGTCAACCCGGTGAAGAGCGCCGGGCATCTACTTTTGCCCCTCACTTCGGTGAAATAAACACCTCCGCCACGTGAAGGCAGTGAGTAGTACTTCCTCAGGAGAGGTTATGTAAGACGCACGGTCATACGGGAGCATTTCAAGAGGTGTACGGAGGGGTGGCCAACCCGCAGAGCAAGACACCCACCCCCAACCATCCTGAGGCTTCGGAGGAAATACGCGCAATTATGTCAACTTAAATTATTGTTACGAAAAGCTTACCTTCATTTGAAAAAGTTAAAAACATGAAGTAAACGATATAAGGTGATCAGGACAGTCAACCGGAGCCATTATACTAAATTTGAAAACTTAGCTTATAGAATTCAGTCGACGACAACACGGAGTGTAACGGAATAACTGTCGAAAAAAGTCCCTCCTGAAACTTCTAATTATAATATATTGATAATAATTCGGATGTCTCAACTAAATTTACGATTATTTTTCCCATCTCTCTCGTGGACTGTATGTCATTGTTCTGAAATTTGCAGATCATCTATTGACTTAACCTTATTATTTGTCTTTGTCCCTGTTTAATGTCTAATTTTAAGGCTTTTGTTTGTGGTTATATGATAATGATATTGATAATATGTTGTTTTACGACTGCAATTTTATTTGAGTCACCTAAGGTCATCCTCACCTTGGACTGTCTGGGGGAATTGTTGGTGGGTGGATTCTTGCTGATCGATGTTTGATCCTACCATGTTGTGAATATTCTACTTGGTTCTGAGGTAATTCTTACAGTGGACTTTCAGTTATCTAGTTTTGTTCTACAGTGTTTGTTTTGTACTAAAAACCTATCTAGCCTGTATAGCTGCCTATTGACACTGTTGAGGTAAATTTTAATTTTTGATGTTATGATTTTATGGGAAATAACAGTCTTTTTGCTGTCTTTGAGGCATTTTATGATAGTGATTAACTCAAGGAATTTGAGGCCAGCTATGCAGTAGAACACGAGAATTAGTCTCCTAAGTTCAGGCCACTTTTAGTTGCTACACTAAGTACTAAACTGAAAGAAAATCCACTGTTAGAGTTCTATGACAATATTCTCACATATTCACGTAGACAGAAACGCACACAAAAAGTTTTAAATACTCTTCTACCTTTTTTATAACTTTCTCATGGAAAAATAAACTGTAGTGGTTACTTCCCATTTTACATTTGCTTCCGGTATCCTCCTAACACAATATAAACAGTGAACTTTGTAGCTTCAAATATCGTCAGGTTATGTAGTCTATCGACATATTATTTATCATAACATTTATATTTTGGCCCTTTATTAGTTGTAAGAGGCTATTAAGGAGAATGAGCTTCCCATCTGTACTAGAATGTATTCATTCTTGGTGATTTCACATGCTGTTTCATATGCTCAAATAGTACTATAGGTAGCTTCAGTAAATTTAAATTAAATGTAATTTTTAAAGAGAAATCACATTGACACAAAACACATAACCTACTAAAGGAATTTGGTCAGCTGCCTCATCAATAGATTCTGAATATTATTTATTTATTCATTCATGTTTTCGATTACAGCTTGATTCCACGCCGTAGTTTTGGTACAAGTATGGAATTTTCAGCGTGGATATCGGAAGCCCAAATTTCGCACGCCGACCATAGATATCAGGTGTGCGTTGGCAGGGGAACAAACCTCGGACCATGTGCATGGTCGGCGAGAGTTCTAACCATTGTGCCACTGACGCACAGTGAGATCAACTGTAAAGATTTTGAAGGAGTTCATTAGAACTAGAAATAATGAAAAAGAAAATTAGTAGACATACAGATCTTGCGAATCTGTTCTTTTTGATGTTTCAGTGATATGTAGAAAAAAACGTCCATTAGACACTTAGAAAACAAAAGGACTGAGTGAAGAAATTTAGCGTAAAATTGGACAGCTTCTTCATTGTATTTCTGAACATCATCCAGCATGGTTAAGCAAGAAACAAACAAGATCTCTCAAGATCTCAGCTCTTTTTTAGCCCACCTTATACATAGTGAGCATAAAGTTGATGTTAATACAGCATTTAAAATTACTTATCCCATTCCCACTAATCTAAATTTTGCTTTACGACTTCGTATTCTACATACATCTGAATAGATCGCCACACATTACAGATATTGCGATATATAATGAAGTTGCGTGAAAAAAATAAAACATATTATGCATAGAAGTAAGGGAGATATAGTGTTTATTGAAAAAAATTTATGATTATCTTCAGCAACAAGATGAATAAGTCACCAGATAAAACAAATAGTTTTAGGTTATGATTGATGATCTGAGGGAAGCCACGATATCAGATTATATTCCTGTTGGCACTCGTCAGTAAGGGTGTATCAGCCACCTTGAAGGAATTGACGTAAACTCTGAGATTGGAACCCACGACACTGAGTGCTGAAAGCAGTTACAAGCGTTATAACTTCTTAGCTATTCGAGACTAGTACTGATCTACTATAGGAGTGTTATGGTTGAATTGTCCGATCTTTGGAGTATAAGCAGTGTCCTATGTCTACTCTCCATTGGTTATAACTGAAGTTAAGTTTGCAATAAGATCAACATTGTAGGATGCAGGAGACTATGCAATTGAATTTATCATATATATATATATATATATATATATATATATATATATATATATATGACAAACCGCTCCTAATTCATTCAAGATGTCATGACTGTTTATTTTCGATTTCAACCTTCCATCCTTTTACCTTAAAGAATTCTACAACATTTTGATTATATTGCATTTACTGCATTATTTCTATTTTTACAACTGAGTATGCATGATGAAGACTTAATATTAGACAACTTGTATTGTTACGCAATAATCCTGTGCTCTTGAAATGTTTATCTTGGCGATTACCTTAGAACTCTTAGTGAAGATTAGTTTATGATGTTTACAAAATGCTACTTGGAAAAAAGTGTCTGATGTTGAGAGTGCTGAAATTAGTGAATTAACCGCTGAATGACAGGATGTTCACCAGCCACGTAGAAGTTTCGGGCTTGGCTGAGCTGACAACGTCACTCCAAAATATATATAAATACCACCGCCAATGAAACTTCAAATCCTGAAGTCCTCTTTGTTCACTGTAGAATGCAAAGAATGATAAAATAACTCGGGAATGAACGGTATTTATGTGAAAGCGGTTACTCGTCTATCCTGTAAAGTAGTAATCCTATTATTACTGCCATATGAAAAAGACCAAAAATATGCCACTTTCGAAAGATAACACCAAAAGCAAGATATTATGAATTCGTAGATTTGTACAACTAGAAATTTTCAAAAAAGTTAATTACAATTTTAGGCTTTGATAGCTACTTAGGTATCGTCGATTCACGACATAGTTTTGAAATCATCCATTCCCATGGAAACCTTACAAATGCATTTCATTATACAAATAGAGCGTCATTTGATTCCGTTTCAGATAAATGTTTCTTAAATGCATTATTGTATACCAGGTTACCAGCTTAATTTGTCTGTTTTCTTCTCTTCATTCAGATAAGTGGAAAGCATCTCTCGCAGAAAATATCAACCGACAAAGTACCAATTACATATCAAGTAGAAAGCTATTTCTGAAGTCCCCCTCTCATTTCTGTGTTTGTTTTTTTGCCTGCTGATTTTTTGTTCTCTCTCTGTGTCAAATGGAAACGTATATTTGTCCAAGCGATAGACAATTAGCATTACGCGCCAGGTAAGTCATCCATTTATCCTTTGTAGCCCTTCACAATTATTTCTTAAAATGGTTAATCTTGTTAATAAGAGATTATGTCATTGATACGTAGTGTACACATTTTTCTCGCAATTTATGATGTCAGGCAGCAAAAATGCGAAAAAAAACAGAACAACTAAGAGACTATTCATTTTGTCGGAGGTTTATACCGCTTCCTTGTTATGGTGTGTGTCTTTTGTCTTCTCATTTAAACATTTCTGTCTTCATGAGATAATATATATATATGTTGCATTTCGGTAAGCAGCATTTCCAATAGATAGAAAATTAACATTTTCCCCTATAACCTGGATGAGTTTATGGAAGTGAACAGGAAACCAGAAGACAATGAGGAATAGCACAAGGGTCCTGGATATGGACTAGTTAAATCCTTATGGTGTTTAGATATAAAATGTTTCTAGAGTGTAGTTTGTAGGGACTAGATTTGCTTCGAATTCGCCAATGAATTGATATCAGTTAGAAAGCTATTGGAAGGCCATCAAGGAGCACTGGACAGCTGTTTTGTTCTCGTTTAGAACTGTCTGAACACAGAACCTCCTGGCTGCATGGGAAACACACAGACCAATCAGCTACTCGAACCCGACTCAGTGGTCTATGAATTCTAACTACTGACAATTCGTGATATTAGCGCAGCCAACAAACAATGATATCGGCGAGCTTTCGTTCTCGGTTGGACCTCACTGGTCACGCTAACCAGTAGAAAGTCACTAGCGAGGATCACGTTTCCAGTGGAACATAGGGCTTCAAGCTAGAGGCTTGAAATTTCTGTATCAGTGTTTATTTTTACAAGATGGAGTTGCTAGCCTTATGCCTAACCTTTCCTCTGTACCAGCATTATTTCTGGCTTAGCGAGGTAAAGGATTGCGTCAGCCGAGGGTCAAACCACGCATCATGTGCATGGTTGGCTAGCGTCCTAACCTCTGTGCCACAGACAAAGGCGTTAGTTTGCTCGGGTATTTTTTGTTTCAAGTCTCAATGGCTGGAGGGCCTATAACCTTACCTTGTGACCGGAGGGTTTTTGGTTCGAACTCTGGTGGTAAGTGCGCAATACCGATGAGTCCCAAATGAGGATGAAACAGCTGTCCATGACTCTTCTCTGATTTCCAGTCGTTCTCTAACTCATATCAACCCGTAGTCAAACCTAAAATATTTTGTTAGTGCATATACGAAACACTTAGTCTGTAAATCCTTCTGATTGGTGATGCCTGACTGTCTGGTTGGCTGACTGTATATTCTAGAATGAGTATTTTGTTGTACAAAGGGGATGATAATCTGAGAGTACCTGCATCCTATTGGGTAACTATCTTTCCTGTGAGATCTTGATATTTAGTGGAGTAGCGAAGGTACTGCTTGCCAGCCAAGCACGTAGTCTGGATTCGCCCCTCGACCGACTAGCTTTTAACCCTCACCTAGATTGTTAACCGGTAATATGCGCAGAAAAGAAGGGAATTCGTGTGGGAGGCTAATAATCACACCTCTTCAAATACAACACTGCTGATTAAAAGTTATCCTGCCAAATGAATTTAACCAAGTCCACAAGCGACAAAGTTGCCTGGAGTCCTAGTGAGAAATCATGACCAGTGAGGTCAAACCGGTCGGGAGTGAGGATAAATACTCACCGATGACACTGTTGAGCACGCTAATCGCGCTAAAGTCAAGCACTGGTATATGCTACAACTGATGAGCTATTGAGTCGAGTTCCAGTGGCTGAATTGTCTCCTTGTACATACCTTAGTGGGTGGGTATAGCTGAAGAGTTCTAAACTAACGGTGAATAACTATCCAGTACTCCATGGTCATCAAACGGTTCTCTAACTGATATTGATCCGTGATCAAATCTTTAAAAACAAACCCTTAAAAAGGTAATACAATGTAACATCTAATATTGTCATCGCATTTCATAGTTAAGGGTAAATTATTATACAAATTTATGGTCTTCTCAAAAAAAAAACAGTAACTAAGCAAATTAGATTATGAATCAACATAGATAATGATAGAAATGTAACAATGGTAAGAAAAGTGGAAATGTTGCAATGCGAGCTAGTTGTTCGATACATTATCTACTTTCTTCACATTGAATGCTTTCCTAGTAAGATACCAGTGAGCTCTCACATTTGAATATTTTACCATTGTCTCTTTTCCTACTTGGGGAGACTGAATAAATTCTCTTGAAATTGTTGAACAAACTAAGAAATTCTTAAATAAATCTATTTCATGGATACTACGCTAACTTGACTGTTAAGATACCATCAGAAGTTATGGTTCACAATGTTCCTTTCAATGAACATTATCCACGTGCTTGGAGTTCAGTTCTACATTGAAACTAAACTGATATGCGTAACAGGTAATCAAAAAATATATATAATCAAATAAAATGTACCAGTTGTCTTTTTAAATGAAACGAAATAAAGCTTTTTTTTACAAGGACTACTTCTATAAACAGCTAACTAATATTAGCTTTAAAATCACTGAATTCGAGGGACATAGTTAAAAACCCACCATCGACACATCCTACTTATGAGATAATGACTTCAAGAAACTAACTTTTCAAAAAGAATGTAACATATAGCCTAAACACACCTATGTTTGCATTCATCTAGTTCCAAATAGAGCAGAAGGTTATAGGACTTCGAACGTTCAGTAGCTGTAGCGTCACCCTTAATGCTTGCCAGCTAGGCAAGGCTTAGGAGCGTGTCAGTAGGAAGTCGAATCCAGATCCCGTGGATGGTCGTAAACCATTCTACTACTACACTATCGACACTCAAATAAATTTATATATATATATATATATATGTCCAAACCAAGTTCACTTTTGACAGTTTAAAAAAATGGCGTTAGGTAAATGATATTCATTATAAAAAATGTTTTTTGTATTTCCCAATGAATGAAAAACAAAACGATATTAGTTTTACTGACACTTCGCTAATTAATGCTGCTGCTAATAGCTTTATCAAAGTATTATTCAACCAGAATTTACAAAATCCACTCAACTTATTTATATATAACAGCTTAATCAAACATTACTGAGACTCTCAAGGAAACATAACTACCCAAAGAACTTCATCAATAAAAACAACATTGACATTGAGTGTGGTCGAAAACGTGTTCCGAAAATATGCACCTCAACAGTTGTCATTCCATATAGAGCAGAGACGTCACACAATAAGCGCAACATCAGAGTTTTCTTCAAAACATCAGACATGCACATTACAAAGCAACACTGTTCATGTAAAAGACCAACTCTGTAAGGATTCTCAATCTAATTGTGTCTACAAAAATGAAATGCTTGGAATATGATGCGATATACATTGGACAAACATCGCCAGAGAGAAATGAAGATCAAAAGAAATGAACGCTGTAGAGAGCATTTGCTCAACCACCGGTGAATTCAGCTGAACTAGAAAAGCGTGGAAAATCATCAGCTATAAGTGGTGGTCTACATGCCATGGAATCAGGTCACAAAATTGATGTGAAAATACTAATATAGTCCAGAAAAAGCATTTCAGAAATCACAAAGAACGTCTGATATCATCAGAAGTACTTCATACCAAGTGGAAACCAAATTGTCTGAGCTGAATAGGAATGATGGACTAAAACAGAATCTAACCTGGTTACAACAGCCCTCCCTCCCCCGTCAAATGACAAAATCAACATGAATGTGATAAGCAATTTCATTATGCAAACACACGCTGCATTAATAATTTTATACACTTATCAATTCCAACAATCTACACTTGGTTTTGCTGTCTCTACCAATTGGGCAGTTTGACAACGCAAAAATGCTCCGTGCTGAGGGACGCTGATTAAGTTGTGATTTATAAATAAGCCGAGATTTTGTAAATTCTGGTTTAATAATACTTTGACGAAGCTATTAGCGGCAGCATCAAATAACGAAACGTCAGTAAAACCAATATCGTTTTGTTTTTCATTCATTGGGAAATACAAAAATACATGTCTTCAAAGCCATCGAATTCACAAGAGAAGAAGGATCCGAGAACCAAATGCCATTTTTGGACGTCTTAGTCAAGCGAACAACCACAGGGATATTAGAGACTCAAGTTTATAGAAAATCAACTCACATAGACCAAATCCTGAATTACAACAGCAACAACCCAATAACACACAAAAGGAATTGCATACAAACACTATTCAAGAGAGAAAGGAATCATTGCAGCACTCCCACCTTAAGAAAAATTGACAAAAAACATCTCATGGACGTCTTCCGAAAGAATGGATATCCACGAAATTCCATCAAAAGACATATACCCCCAAGCCAACCTATCAAACCAAAAGCCTCCAAGTAAAGCACAAATAAAATCGCCTTACCATATATAAAGCATATCTCATAAATCACTACAAGACTCTTCAAACCGTTAGCAATTGACGTCGTACACAAACCAACAAAGTCACTTCACTCAATTCTATGTCAGCCAAAAGACTCAACAGCAAAAGAAGACAAAACCAACATCATCTACAAAATAAACTGTAACAACTGCGAAAAACACTACATTGGTCAAAGTGTACGTCCTCTTCGTCTTCGTATCCACGATCATAAGTTAGCCGTCAACAGATATGATATCCACTCCCTCATATCACTACATACAGACAACCACGGACATCAATTCGACTGGGACAATGTTCAAATATTAGACAGAGGAAACAACAAGAGTGCTAGAGAAATTTTAGAAGCTTGGTATTCCAGTGAATCATCAATCAATAGACACTTAGAAATAGACAAAATTTATCAACCAATAAGAAATAAACTTCACACACAAAGGGTCAAAGTTCAAGCCAAAGAAACAACCAGTTACAATACAAGTAACCTAGAGGGTACGAAAAACACAAAAAGAACAACCAATCACGTCCAAGGTTACCAGGAGAGATGATTAATAAACTTGTGGAGAAATCTAAAAGCTCACTTCAAACTGAAGTATGCGCTGAAGATGTCACCCAGTAGGGTGATGA